CAACAATGATAAGGGTTTGCAACACGCTCACTCTGGGTTATCAACAATGATAGGGGTTTGCAACACGCTCACTCTGGGTTATCAACAATGATAGGGGTTTGCAACACGCTCACTCTGGGTTATCAACAATGATAGGGGTTTGCAACACCCCTCACTCTGGGTTATCAACAATGATAGAGGTTTGCAACACACTCACTCTGGGTTATCAACAATGATAGAGGTTTGCAACACGCTCACTCTGGGTTATCACAATGATAGGGGTTTGCAACACGCTCACTCTGGGTTATCAACAACGATAGGGGTTTGCAACACGCTCACTCTGGGTTATCAACAATGATAGAGGTTTGCAACACGCTCACTCTGGGTTATCAACAATGATAGGGTTTGCAACACACTCACTCTGGGTTATCAACAACGATAGGGGTTTGCAACACGCTCACTCTGGGTTATCAACAATGATAGGGGTTTGCAACACGCTCACTCTGGGTTATCAACAATGATAGGGGTTTGCAACACGCTCACTCTGGGTTATCAACAATGATAGGGGTTGCAACACGCTCACTCTGGGTTATCAACAATGATAGGGGATTGCAACACGCTCACTCTGGGTAATCAACAATGATAGGGGTTTGCAACACGCTCACTCTGGGTTATCAACAATGATAGGGGTTTGCAACACGCTCACTCTGGGTTATCAACAATGATAGGGGTTTGCAACACGCTCACTCTGGGTTATCAACAATGATAGGGGTTTGCAACACGCTCACTCTGGGTTATCAACAATGATAGGGGTTTGCAACACGCTCACTCTGGGTTATCAACAATGATAGGGGTTTGCAACACACTCACTCTGGTTATCAACAATGATAGAGTTTGCAACACGCTCACTCTGGGTTATCAACAATGATAGGGGTTTGCAACACGCTCACTCTGGGTTATCAACAATGATAGGGGTTTGCAACACACTCACTCTGGGTTATCAACAATGATAGGGGTTTGCAACACGCTCACTCTGGGTTATCAACAATGATAGGGGTTTGCAACACGCTCACTCTGGGTTATCAACAACGATAGGGGTTTGCAACACGCTCACTCTGGGTTATCAACAATGATAGAGGTTTGCAACACTCTCACTCTGGGTTATCAACAATGATAGGGGTTTGCAACACACTCACTCTGGGTTATCAACAATGATAGGGGTTTGCAACACGCTCACTCTGGGTTATCAACAATGATAGGGGTTTGCAACACGCTCACTCTGGGTTATCAACAATGATAGGGGTTTGCAACACGCTCACTCTGGGTTATCAACAATGATAGGGGTTTGCAACACGCTCACTCTGGGTTATCAACAATGATAGGGGATTGCAACACGCTCACTCTGGGTAATCAACAATGATAGGGGTTTGCAACACGCTCACTCTGGGTTATCAACAATGATAGGGGTTTGCAACACGCTCACTCTGGGTTATCAACAATGATAGGGGTTTGCAACACGCTCACTCTGGGTTTCAACAATGATAGGGGTTTGCAACACGCTCACTCTGGGTTATCAACAATGATAGGGGTTTGCAACACGCTCACTCTGGCTTATCAACAATGATAGGGGTTTGCAACACGCTCACTCTGGGTTATCAACAATGATAGGGGTTTGCAACACGCTCACTCTGAGTTATCAACAATGATAGGGGTTTGCAACACGCTCACTCTGGGTTATCAACAATCACAGAGGTTTGCAACACGGTAACTCTGGGTTATCAACAATGATAAGGGTTTGCAACACGCTCACTCTGGGTTATCAACAATGATAGAGGTTTGCAACACGCTCACTCTGGGTTATCAACAATGATAGAGGTTTGCAACACGCTCACTCTAGGTTATCAACAATGATAGGGTTTGCAACACTCTCACTCTGGGTTATCAACAATGATAGAGGTTTGCAACACGCTCACTCTGGGTTATCAACAATGATAGGGGTTTGCAACACGCTCACTCTGAGTTATCAACAATGATAGGGGTTTGCAACACGCTCACTCTGGGTTATCAACAATCACAGAGGTTTGCAACACGCTCACTCTGGGTTATCAACAATGATAGGGGTTTGCAACACGCTCACTCTGGGTTATCAACAATGATAGAGGCTTGCAAAACGCTCACTCTGGGTTATCAACAATGATAGAGGTTTGCAACACGCTCACTCTGGGTTATCAACAATGATAGAGGTTTGCAACACGCTCACTCTGGGTTATCAACAATGATAGAGGTTTGCAACACGCTCACTCTGGGTTATCAACAATGATAGGGGTTTGCAACACGCTCACTCTGGGTTATCAACAATGATAGGGGTTTGCAACACGCTCACTCTGGGTTATCAACAATGATAGAGGTTTGCAACACGCTCACTCTGGGTTATCAACAATGATAGGGGTTTGCAACACGCTCACTCTGGGTTATCAACAATGATAGGGGTTTGCAACACGCTCGCTCTGGGTTATCAACA